TTCACATTATTAGTTTTGTTTTATTTATTGTTTTATATTTTTTGTGTGCTCTATTTCTTGTGTGAGAGAGGGGGCCCCGTAAGAAGAAAATGTCTAGGGCCCCAAAGTGGGTTAATCCGGCCCTGCTTATTACAGTTGTTGTATGTTGTTTCGGACCAAAAATCGATGCCCGCGGTCGCGTTACGCGGGTGGTGGTTTAATACGGGTAACTTATACGAAGACTGTATGGATAAACTATTCGGTGCCAGAAATTTTTGCCCATTTTGACGGGTCAGCGAGTATATTGGCATTTTTGTTAAATTGCTATTATAATCCTAGCATTGGGGATACACGATTTGCTCCGTATAAGGTGCCCCTCGAACGCGGGTGGTGGCCTAAGCAGTTTTCGCTGTATTATTATCTCGCAATTATCTTACAGTTTAAGCAGAAATTACAGTGTAATAATAAAACTGACGTTAAAACTTGTAAATTAAACTTTCGTAACATAACTTTTACATAATCTAACTCCGTCATCGTAACTATGTTAACTCTATCTTTCTTTGCCTGGTAAATGAGATGATATTTTATCAAATATACTATAGATCGCTTTTGTCATACTTTATTGAACATCCTTCTCAAAGTAATGACGTTTACTATTTTTAAATTTCTCCCACTTATCCTAATTTTCCTCCGGAAAGTGTCCTTTTCCTACTTTTTAAGTCTCGAAAGACGGTAGGAGAACTGTAATTTATTTGGTTTGTTATTTTGACATTGAAAAATAAACTTTGCTTTAATTAAATTATGTTATATATTTACTAATTTTGTAATTATTGTTTCATAAATTTAAAATTTATGAAACAATAATACAGGATGTTGGTAATTTATCACCTCGTTAAGACACGAAAAACTAGCAGACATTGAAAAACAGTTAACAAAACACAAACAGATGTATAGATATAGTTAACTCAAAAAAGTTTTCCACACGGGGCTACGCTGTTACAAGCATTCCGTCGAGACAGACCAATTGCGTGCCACCGGGGTAGGCTGACTTAATTTTTTGATACCGAAACTGGATGGAGCAGCCGCAGCTGATAAATATGGGCCCGGTCTTAACAAAATATTGACAAAATATATATGAACCTTATCAACAATCCCTTAGTACATTACTACTGCTATTGATTTGGAGATGTAAAATATAATATGTAAATGTTACTAAAATATTTTACAGTAGAGCGTCAATCATCCGAAAGAATTGCAGTCAGCAAATTTAAATTTTCGCCAGTGCTGTGGCGCTGCAATATCTGGCTATGTCTCGGGATACTCAAAATTAACTTCTGAAGTATAATTTTTTATTGTTTATATATTTTTCAATATATTTATTTTGTTCGTACAAAATAAAAAAATAATTTTTAACGATACAATAGTCTTCGTTAGGCTTAACATCGACGAAAATTCAACGCGAAGCGACACGCAACGGAGAAAAATTTCAACATGGGATAAATTAATATATTTTTCCGTACATAATCGGTTATCCGAAACATCGATCTTCCGAACAACCCCAGTCCCCAATTTATTCGGATAATCGACGCTCTACTGTATTTT